TTAAGACTTAAGAATAATGAATGAAATATGAATAAGTGCATCCAGTTAATATGTTAAAATAGAAAGTTGCACTATTAGAATAATTCTGTATAAGGACGTCATATGGCTTTCATATAACTGTCCTAGTAAATTAGTTGTACTTTACACATCAACACAGTTCCAGTAAATATTTCTTTCATGAACTTTATATGTTAATATTCAAAAGATAACTTTTGATTTGCGAATCTTGTATATTATCAGTTTGTCAATTATTGTTTTCCTTTTATAGTAAATATATTATTAGTAAGTTGGACATTTATAAGTTTAATATCGTAAATGAACTATATAAAGTTCAATGATGTTGTTTATGGATGAAGTAAGAATAAGCACTCACAATATCGAATTTAAAAGTTGTACTATAGAATAACTTTGTATAAGGATATAATATTGCTTTCATCATCACGCAGTGGTCCCTCATTACGTATAGAATCTTTCCCTACTAATAAAGCACGGAGTGCTTCTAGTCGTTCGTCGTCGCTAGCGATTTTGCATAAAAGTCCCTCCATTTCCAATAATTTAACCCGCAGTCCTATTTAAGTGGATCTGGCAAAAACGTTTCGTTTTTTAGAAAAAGCCCCTACATCTCCCGACCTGCCATCCCCTCCCTTACTGCTGCACGAAACGGAATTTGCTTATGTCTGTGCTAAAATAGTCCCACCCCGCCCCGTTAGATCAAATCCTAGCAATTTAGATATGTTCGAAGTTGCGAGAATCTACAGAACAACAAAAGAAAGATGAGATATAAGTCATCTTTATCCTAGAGAAATGAAGAAAGATGCCATGCATCACCAATCGAAAAATGTTGAGGCAGAGCCTGTGATGAAGGACATGAACAAATCAAGGAGAAGAGAGGGGGAGGAGAGAGAGCCCATCTGAATATACTGAAAAAAGGGTCCGAGGTCAACACATACAGAAAAAAAATAGAGTTAGTACGTCGACGGGCGGAGACAGGCGGAGTGCCATGGCCGCCCATCGGTCGGTGCTGGAGCGGCGGCGGACCCGAGCGGTTGGAGCCTGCTCGTCTGTAGAGGCCACCATGGCCGCTGCCTTGGGACTCCCGGTGGCGCGCGTGGGGCCACTGGTGGTGGTGGAGCACGGGAGCAGGGGATCCTGGAGCGGAGTGGACAGCCGAGCGGCCGGAGCCAGCTCGCCTGCAGAGGCCACCATGTCCGCCGCCGTGGGATTCCCGGTGACGCGAAGGGTTCCTACGGGGACGGGATCCGGCGGCGGCACTCCGGATCTGGTGGTCTGGCCTGGAAGAACGATGAGGAAATGAGATCCAGCAGCGGCGCCTGCTCCAGTGGAACGGGGGGAGGCGACGGGATCCGGCGGTGCCGCTCGCTTCGTTGGAACGGGGGGCGCCAGCAACTTTGGTTTGGTGGAAGCATGAGAGAGATTGAGCGAGAGAAGTAATGAGCTGGATGCAGATGCATCTCGGTGGAGACGAATGGATATGCTAGCGGTGGAGACGAATGGGCTAGCGGTGGAGCCGTGGGGAGGTACACGCGTGGCCTGTGTGATGGTTACGTGCCGGCCGCTCGGTCGCAACATTGTTTTTATCAGCGGATGTACATGGGAGTTATAATATTTCTTGCGTTAATAGTGCAAAAAAATATTGAGAATATTCTGGAAATACAAATTGGATCGGCTGGAGGAACAAAATGAAATATTCTGGAAACAAAAGGCACATGCAGATTGGCTGGTGGATGGTGATAGGAATACATAATTCTTTCATGCAGCAGCGTCTGAGTTAAGCGGTACAATACTTTGACAAGAAAAGTGCTATGCACACGACAAACTTCAAAGGATGCACAGACGATGGTTAAATCTGGCCGGAAATACGTATGATTGAACAAGTCGCCGGCCGCTAGATTGTTATGTCGTCCATAAATCATGCACATGTATCGTGAATGGAGCAGTCTCGCTTTGACAAAGTTGATGAGGAGGATGATGTGGAGGCGGAAGGGCAAGAGGACTTGAAGGCTCTCATCACTAATCATTTTCCCTCCCTGTTTACCCCATGGCAGGTACCAATATTGAACAGATTCTCCAACATGTTCCTGTTAGTGTGTCCCAAGCTATGAACGATATGTTCAGGGCAGAATTCACTCGAGAGGAACTGAAAAAGGCTCTTGATGGCATGGGTGATCTCAAAGCACCAGGACTAAGACGGAATGCCGGCTCTCTTCTATAAGAGGTACATGATTTGGTTGGTGAGAAAATTGCCCCCGCACGCAAGCTGGGAGGGAGGAGCACTCCATTTTGTTTTACCATCTCTCCCGTAGCTCTGTGTGCCATAATTCTGCGATTTCAAATAAAGTTCACCCATTCACAAAAATGTTTGCTCCGTCAAAATCCTTATGTTTTTGAAATTACATTCATAGGGCATAAAGGCATATTTTTTTAGAGGATAAACCCACAGACCATACAGACCATACGAGTGTTGGCATTGTAGGGAGGTTTGTCCCAAGGAAGAGATCCTCGTGTGGCACATGTCGCTCGATCTGGGCCTTTTCACAACCCATGCTCAAACTTAGCCGGCCCAACTATCACGAAAATAAGGCAACACTAGCTAAAATAATTAATAAATTACAATGGAATCAAGATATATTTTATTTGAATGGTGCAATTGATTGGATTCTAGAATGTGCATTTGCTTAAAATTGAAATACACCTTAAAATTTTGTCCCGTTGCAACGCACGGGCATTTGTGCTAGTAATTGTAATGGCCACACTCATTACATTTTTTTTGCGTGGAACATAATAAATCCCTCCTTCCGTAACATTGTAGTTTTAGGCATTGGCATAGTTCCAGTAAATATTGTAATCATTAGTTTTTATATGTTATTGTTAATAGACGATTATAAAAAGGAAGTATTTGTAAACTTGTATTCGGGCAATAAATAATACAGTTTGCAAATTTCAGGACATATTTCTTGCGGCCAACGACACTGTTTCGGGTACAATTGAGTGGGCTATGGCAGAGCTACTACAGGACCCACAGTCCATGACAAAACTACAACAAGAGCTCAAAAGTGTCGTTGGATCAAAGACGCACGTTGAATACTCCGACATCGACCAGCTCCCCTATCTCCAAGCAGTCGTCAAGGAGACGCTCCGTCTGCACGCGGTGGTGCCGCTGGTGCCCAACAAGGCCGAGGCCACGGTGAAGATACAGGGCCACACCGTCCCCAAGGGGAGCACCGTGCTGGTGAACGTGTGGGCAGTCCACCACGACGCCGAGGCATGGCCGGAGCCGAACAAGTTCATCCCGGAGAGGTTCCTGCAGCACGAGCAGGAGGTGAGTTTCCAGGGCGCCGCCGACTTCAGGTTCGTCCCGTTCAGCGCCGGGAGGCGCACCTGCCTCGGCCTGCCGATGGCGACCAGGATGATCCATGCCATGCTCGGCTCGCTGTTGCACTGCTTTGAGTGGAAGCTGCCACACGAGGTGGAGAGAAGTGGTGTGGATATGTCGGAGAAGGTTGGGATCACCATGGCCATGGCTACTCCCCTCCAGGCTATAGCCCGCAGGAGAGTCTGAGGGCTTGGCTTTGGGTGTACTCTGTTGTTTCTTCCGTGGAATATATGTATGCATGTTTAGTGTTCATATATAAGCGAATAAAAGTAATGGGAAACCGGTGGAATATATGTATGCATGTTTAGTGTGCATATAAGCGAATAAAAGTAATGGGAAACCGGTATATAATGTTATCTACTTCCTCCGTTCCTAAATATTTGTCTTTTTAGAGATTTCAAATGGACTACCACATACGGATGTATATAGACATATTTTAAAGTGTAGATTCACTCATTTTTTACTCCATATGTAGTCACTTGTTGAAATCTCTAAAAAGACAAATATTTAGGAACAGAGGAAGTACCTTGTTGAAAATTAGATGCTTCCTTAATGCGTGTAAGGAAATATAGGTGATTGTACTTGAGAAAACTCTAATATTTCACATAACTTGATGCACCGTTTTTTTTTTGCGTTTTTTATTGACGGAATGGAGCACCACGACTTATGGATCGCCCACGCGTGCTCCGCACCTTTCAGCAACATATAATGTCCATTTATTTTTGTCATCCCAGTATAATAACAATCATCAATAAAGCCTAAAACGCTCCAAAAAAATACTGCAGCCACGACTCGTGAACTTGGCATGGGTACAGGTTAATTAACACTAGTGGCAGGAGCGCGCCCGTGGCGCGCCTCCTCCGCGGTCTTGTGCACACCAATCTAGTTAATGCATTTGTGAACGTGTGTATGCAGCCCAGAAAAAAAGCAAGTTGTTTAAAAAGAGTATATACTTAACGGAAGTGCAGAAGCAAAGTGTTCAGTCGTCAAAGCATATAGCATGCTAATATATCTATATTAACTGAGAGGTGACATCTTACAAGGTTGGTGCCAGAGCACAGCATCGATTGAAATCAAAGTCTAATATGCTCCAAAAGGCGGGCGACCTCCAAAACAGACACGTACCTTGTTGAGCATAACACATCTTGGGCTCACATAGCTAGAAAAAATCCTCTTCTACTGAACATCGCCTAAATCTCTCTCAACTTCTCTCCTCTAATCTCCCTGATTCATCTCCATAGCATCAGTTAGTTCAACACTTCCTTGCCCACCTCTCTGTTCTTCACACAGCCACCCTGACCATAGTTGCTCGACCTGCCACCCACCTCCCTTTACCTGTAGTTATGTACCCAGGGCTCCTCTGCATCTCGCCGCCCTAGCCTAAGAGCATTTAAAAATGTTGTTTGGGTTAAAAAATTGTAATGATATGGCGAAAATGATCCCATGATTGTAAGTAGTGCCTTATATCATCATTGTTATAAGATAAGCATTTCAGTACTAATATACCATTCTTATTAAATATTGCAAGAGGATCATTATAACTCAAACTCAGGTTCCGGTTTGATGTAATAATCAGATTTCAGAAAAGTGAGTAGGAAGACGTACATCAATTGTAACTCGGCCAAGCCGATATGGTACTTCGGGATATTGCTGCAATGACAGATGGCGAGTAGATAAGCATTGTGTAATGAACCAACATGAGCTCAGCATAAAAGGACATGTTCTCCACCTGCATTGCATTAAACAGAACCAAATAAGATTTCATCGAGTGATGGTAGTCCAGATATCCGACAATAGGACATCTTAGTAGCTAGCCAGCTCATATTTATTACAAATATCTTTAAAAAAATTAATACTCCCTTATGTGAACTTAATTCAAACATATTTGTACAGCGTGTATTCAAATCGAGAAAGATAAATATGAATATGAGGCATGCCCACTTGATGAATATCTCGATCATCAAAAGTATTCCCACCTAAATGTCAATGCACTGGTCCACTATCTGAATGCCAATGCACTGGTCCACTCCCGACACGAGCATATGTAGGAACATGAATATAATTGTTTTCTAGTATGATATTGATGTGTATTAAATGACAAACATCATATTAGCTTAACTTTTCTAGTCAACATATAGTTCCGCAATTAGCAAATGGTAAAAATTATTAGGAGTCCAGACCAGCAAAATCCAATTGATCTCTTCAGCAACTACTCTATTCTGCCAAACCAATATTTTGACAGATCATGTGATTACTCCACAATCTTCAGCAACACCTTTTACCAATCTTATGGTAAACATGCATTATTATTTTCCTTCTCCCGTTTGCAGGGAAAGATTACTGTGAGCACACCATCTGCAAAATTAAAGCTTTCTGACAAGAACAAAATGATGAATGAGGCTCACTCGATAACTGACCATTTACAATGTTCACCTGCCCTACACAATTACACAGTACTGCTCACTCTGACTCAGAACCAAAAGGACAAAAAGAAAAGGTTCAGATATAGTAGATCTGGCCTACGTTGAGAAGGCTTTCATGAGGAACATTGAATATCACGCTGTGTTCTCTACAGACCTTCCTGAGGAACGCATACAGGTGATCCACAACAATCCTCTTGATGATCCCTGAATCCCTGCGCGCGCGCACAATGGTGTTGCCGAGGATGTGCACGACGCCGGCGTCCTTGCAGCTGTTGAGGAACTCCAGTTCGTCGCCGTATGTTTGGCTGGAATACCTTGTTACGCTGTTGTTCCCTGTTAGCGGCGACTTGGCCAGCACAATGGAGGAATCATGTGATGAGTAGCTCAGGTCGCTTCCAGCCTTTTCGCTCATCAGCAGTGCATTAGCGGGTCTCTCGACCTTGTGCTCCGTCATGGTGAAGTCCTCAGAATCAGAATAGCCATCCATCATGCTCTCAAGTCTGACAAAGATCAGGAGCCTGTCAAGAAGCATCTTCTCAAAGTCGTCGTGCTTCTTTTGGATGTCCTTGTACCCATACCTCGTCACACAGCGGAACATGTGAAAGTTCTTTGGCCCGATCCTCTTCATGACAAACCGTTCTTCAACCGGGACAGTGTACACCGGAAGGTACTTGACACACACAAAGACGACCACGGAGTGGATGGCAGGGAGGTTGGTGATGAAATGGGAGAAGATATGTGGAACACCACTTGCCAACTCGGTGTACACAAAGCCTATCCCAGGAACCCTAACAAGACCGAGGCTCGGCCCGAGTCCTAGAATCCAGGCCATGGAAACCTTGCTGTGCATCTCAAACTCATACCGCTTCACGGTGCAGAAATGCCACACGTACATGATGATAAAGAAGGTGATTGCAACGGCAAGTGGGACCCAACCACCTTCATCCACCTTATTGATGCAGGCTATGAAGTATGGGAACTCCACCATCAACGAGAGCACAAGAAAGGTGACAACAAGGATCCAGTGGCTCTTCCATACTAGCAGCATTATTGGGACCATGAGGAACGTTGTTACCAGCATAACTATCACAACTGCTGTGCCTGTTCAGATAGCATGACATGCAAATAAGTAGGATGTAATCTGCAGAATGCAGGGTGCATTATAAAGGTTCAGCTGCACTTGCCTTTAGAAGCTAATTAGTTGCCAATTTACAGAAGGTTCTTAACAAAAATCAGTTTTTGTTTTGTTTAAGTGCTACTGCTCACTAGTTGATGCTGGCCCACTTCACTTTTCAGAAAAGGAAACCTAATTTATAGACCATAGGGCCATGGCCGGCTTTGTCAATGAGACAAAACGATACACCAGGCAGGCATACCAACCTAACGGAGGGGAGAATAAAAGTTCAAAGCATATAACACATTAACAGAGAGAAACATAGAAACCTAATTTAGCTTAGATTAAGCTTGCAATGGAAACATAGTAAAAAAAAGGCTAGCCTGACTCGAGCATTACAATCCATGATTCCATGGTGATTGAAAGTCCAGTTAGGATTCTCCAGCTATCATTTCACACTTCAGTCATTTCTTTTATTCAATTATTATTGTAGAATCGAATGCACTGGACATATTGTGCGACAAAGTTCTGGCATACTGTTAAAAAATGCTGATTCTGTTTGTACAGCTGTCAAATGAAAGATACCCTAGCTATCCTCTGTTTCACAGCAACGTGAAAACTTGATTAACTTACAAACTGAACTGGGTAGCGTTGAAAAGAGAAATAACAAACCTTAGTTTTCCCTATTCAGTTATATGTTCAGAGATGCAAAAGAAGCTGTGAAAAGTAAAGCTCACCGTATGCATTTCCAATCTGGATTTGGTTCTTAAATCCAGCAGTCACAGCAATGCAAAGAATCATAAGTACCCAATTAATGTCAGGGATGTAAATCTGCCCAAGGAATTTTTTTGAAGTGTGCACAACACTGACACGGGGAAAACAACCCAACGCAAGAGCCTGCTTTATAATCGAGTAGGTAGCAGATATGGTGGCTTGACTTGCAACTATTGCTGCAAGAGTTGCAATGACGAAGGCTGGCCAATATATGGTATCTGCAGTGATCAATCATCTTACTATGAGTATATCATAGTGCATACAGCACTAGTAAACAGAAAGAATGCTGGGATATGCACTATGTCAATCTGCATATCGTGGACATGATGCATTGATATTGTTTCTTGACATAAGACGGTAATTTTTGTGTGGGGACCTGGAATGGAGCGATAGAAGGCATCAACTACATGATCCTTGTGGACAATAATATAAGCAGCCTGCCCAGTGTACGCAAGGAGAAGGCAAGGGAACACCACTAGCGTGAAAGCAATCTGCACATAGACATTATTACTTTATCAAAGCAATATATCGATCATAATTGATTTAATGAAGGTTCTCACTACCTGAATAGCCAAAACAGGGAAATGGCATAGATCAGCAAATAATGCTTCGGTCCCTGAAAAGAAAGGTGATACAGGTAATTCTCCTGTTTCTCATGATCACTCCAAAATATGATTAATCAATGGAACGCATATGAGAATTGCTAATGACCTGTGATGCTAAGCATAACTCCTCCAAGAGAGGTCCAGATCTCAGACTTCGCTCGTCGGAGAAACCGGTAGATATAGACTGGATTATATGCTTTTAGAACTGAACTGTTATACTTGTGTATGTTGAATGCCCCGACGCTCCCAATAAGAATAAACCAAAGGAACACTAAAGGTGCGAAGAGCCACCCAACTTTATCTGTACCATAGTGCTGCATGCTGAATAATCCGATTAATATGGTCACCGCGACGATTACAACCACATCTGTCATATATTGAAGAGACAAATATCAAACGATTTCACAACAATACTAGAACAACGACTCTTGTTCCTCGCTAGATCACAATAAAAATGATTGGATCAGTCTAGCTACTGAAATTCGCAATGTTTGCCTATGGATCTTTTTAGATATATGACAGACACTGATTTCTTCCTCTCGTTACGCTCAAGTTCATGTTGTTATATAGTATCACCATAGACCATACAAGCTCCACTTAAAGAATTAAGCAGAATTGCCCACACAACACTTGCGCAAAGATAATCATATAAAAGAACAGATTTACCTGTACTCATCTTCGGATTCTGAACTCGTATTCCACCAGTTGCAGAGAGAACTGCAGAACATGAACATAAAAGTTACGATCCAAGTTCCAGTTGTATTACTTGGGCAAAACTATGTCGCCAAATACCTGAGATAGCAGGAGTAAGGATCCCATCTCCAATGGCAGTACAGGTACCAATAAGAACAAGAATAAGAAGACAGTTCTTTTTATATGCGTGCCCCTCTAGCCATCTCTTCACTTTTGCTGCAAGCGAATTCTCCTCATAAGTTTGCCGGCTATATGTCGTTAGTTCTTCATCAGTCTTATGTTGATTGGGTATAGTGCTGACCTTTGCATGCCGGCAAAGTAGAGAATAAAGAGCAAAAGTGCCGCCTGTAAATAAAAATAAAGTTGTTAGCTTAAAGTTGTGCGAACAAACTAAGAAACCCAAGGAGACAGTTAAGAAACTGTTGCCCCAGCACAAAATAAAATGCGCTCTGTGCTTCACCTCTCAAGATATTCATGATTAGTAAAGTGTTGTGCACCGATAATTGTGGCGTACAATGTTTAATCCTTGTTGATAGAAATCTAATCACCATAATGCTGTCATGTAAATAGATTCCAGTATACAAACCTAATCAATTGATAAAATTGCAGAATCTTTGCATTCACCCATGCTATACTGCATTGAATCTTTAACCCGTTCAGAAACTCTACCATAATTTTTGTTGTGTGACAGTATATGATTCTACCTTTGCCCATCAAATAAAATGGTAAATTTACAGAAACTTTGCATTTGCCCGTGCTAAACTCCAATTAACTACATGTGCAAATGTTTAAGAACTATCCTTTCTACAATTACACTCATATTCTCGCAAATACCCGAACAATCATAAAAATAGCAAATGTGGGTAAGCTTGGGAGAATGTGACATCTCACCTTGACCATTATCATTTGCCCGTAAGACAACAAAGACATACTTCATCAGAGGAATGAGCGTGAGGGTGTAAATGATCAATGAAAGAGCTCCAATAACATCCTCGTCATTGTCGACCCCATGCGGAAATATATTGTAGAAAACATACAATGGCGATGTACCCAAGTCGCCAAAGACTACACCAAGGCTCTGAAATGCAAGCCTTAGTAACAAAACTGATGAAAACTTCTGCATAAACAAAAGGAAGGGTCACTTTAGTTTCAGAAAGGGCAAGAACATGACAGAGATACAGAGGAAATCACAGTTTATACCATGTAAGATATGGTCCCTGGTCTTCTTTATATTAAAATAGTGCCAGTTACTATCAATTCAACACTATCATTGATACTACTACCAAAGAAGCACTCAACTTTATCAGATGGACACAAAAAGACATATGAGATGCTCTGTACTCACGAAAGCAGAGTTCACAGAAATATAATATTACATTCAGCACGCAAGTAGCAATATCCAAATGTACTTACAGACCTTTTCTATGTACATGTTCTTGAGCCTGCTAGCCTCCTCATCCATGGGCACATCAAGATCCTGATCGAGCTCCCACATGCTCCCGGGGTTTGTCGTCTCGATATCTGATGTTGACGCCATGGCCCTCTTTCAGGCTCGAAACACCGGGAACTTTCCCAATGGCCCAGATCGGTCTTTGCAGCAGCACAGCAGAATAAAAGCCTTTTCAGCCCCGCCGAAACAACTTCAGAATCAAGCACAGCTGCTCAATCTCTCACTCGCGATTCCACCTCAAATCCTGAAATACGAGCGTCCCCTTGGTCTAATCAAATGCCAACCTTTGAAGAATAACCAAGAAAGAGAAAAATAGTCCAAGTCAGAATGCCGCTTCAAATCTCTGCAGCAAACTCGCCCCCTGTCTGACCCCGGAAAGAACCAGAAATTGGAGATTTGGACCAAGAGCCAGCCCTCCACAAGATTGCGTCTTTGCTGGCCGTTGGGAAATGTGTTTAGCATCGACAATGAAGGACAGGAGCTAGCAGAAGAATGGACATACCTCGAACCCTCGGTTCGGTGCTCTGCCTCGGAAGGTGGAGAAACAGCGACGCCGGCCGCCGCGATGGGGAGAAGCTGCGCCACCCCCCTCCCCCCACCGGGTTAATTGAGCGGCGGTGGCCCGTCTCAGCCGTGTGCCGGCCGCCTGTTCGTCTCCCGTGGACTCGAGCGGCGGCGGCAGTTGGCGGAGGTGAGGAATCGAGCGGCGGCACCGGTGGAGATCGAGGACTCGAGCGGTGACGGGAGGCGACGAATCAAGGACGGCGGCCTCCCATGGTGATCCGTGGACTCAGGCGGAGCCGGCACACAGGCTCGCGTCGGCGGCGCAGGCAATGCTCGGATCAGGTCTCAGGTGGCGGCGGACATTGGGAGCAGAGCGATTCGGAAACCTAGCTCGCGGTGGTTTACTGCAGTAGTACTAGTAGAGTCAATGAGAGCGCGGCCGTCCCCAACACGCCGACCACCTGGTCTGCTCAATCTCAACTCTCAAGAGTGGCTATTTGTTGTGGGATTCGTGCCATAAAATGTTTTGCTCTCTCATTTGAATTGAATCGAATTGAATACAAAAAATTTGAATCGAATGGAATACAAGCCTCTAGGAAGACTGATTTGTATGATTCGACAAACGGTTTAATTGTAGCATGAGACAGTGTGGAGGCATAGTTTGGCAGGCCGACGCAGACTTTTACCGTGTCGGCCGTGGGGCCAAGGCGTCGAAAGAGGATGAGTTCAAAGTATATGAATGGTAGGTGAAACCATAGGCTCCATATATGAGATATGCTTACATCAATCGTCAACCTTCTAGGAGGTCACTCGGACGGCGTCGGGGTTCTTGTTATTCGAACGAACTAGAACTTGAGGTACTCGGACAGACGAAGTTAATCGGATATGTAAACTACTCGAGATAAATGAAGCTAAACAGCCACAGCAGAGATATATGAGGCGTCAAAATGATAGTGGAACATACGTATTAGTATTAACTCCACCAGTTACCATTTGTAGCGGGTTTAATCAATGTAACACTTTAATCCCCTCTAACGGCATAGGATAAATGTTTGGCGCACTCTATATAAACCGCTCTCAAGTTCATAGACAGGGGTTCGCATCTCATTGCAATCCCCATCAGACACCAAGAAAGAAAAGCACAGAGCTCGAGACGTAGGGTTGTTACCTCTTCGGATAGGGGGGCAAACTCGTAAAACTTGTTGTGTCACACTTGCGCCTAGCTAGATCCAGCGTCTCTCGTATGATAACCCATAAGTATAGGGATCGCAATAGCTTTCGAGGGTAGAGTATTCAACCCAAATTTGTTGATTCGACACAAGGGGAGCCAAAGAATATTCTCAAGTATTAGCAGCTGAGTTGTCAATTCAACCACACCTGGAAACTTAGTATCTGCAGCAAAGTGTTTAGTAGCAAAGTAATATGATAGTGGTGATAACATAACAAAGTAAAGACAGCAAAATTAATGTTTTTGGTATTTTTGTAGTGATTGTAACAGTAGCAACGGAAAAGTAAATAAGCATAAACCAGTATATGGAAAACTCGTAGGCACTGGATCAATGATGGATAATTATGCCGGATGTGGTTCATCATGTAACAGTCATAACATAGGGTGACACAGAACTAGCTCCAGTTCATCAATATAATGTAGGCATGCATTTCGTAAATAGTCATACGTGCTTATGGAAAAGAACTTGCATGACATCTTTTGTCCTACCCTCCCGTGGCAGCGGGGTCCTATTGGAAACTAAGGGATATTAAGGCCTCCTTTTAATAGAGAACCGGAACAAAGCATTAACACATAGTGAATACATGAACTCCTCAAACTATGGTCATCACCGGGAGTGGTCCCGATTATTGTCACTTCGGGGTTGCCGGATCATAACACATAGTAGGTGACTATAGACTTGCAAGATAGGATCTAGAACTCACATATATTCATGAAAACATAATAGGTTCAGATCTGAAATCATGGCACTCGGGCCCTAGTGACAAGCATTAAGCATAGCAAAGTCATAGCAACATCAATCTCAGAACATAGTGAATACTAGGGATCAAACACTAACAAAACTAACTCGATTACATGATAAATCTCATCCAACCCATCACCGTCCAGCAATCCTACGATGCAATTACTCACGCACGGCGGTGAGCATCATGAAATTTGTGATGGAGGATGGTTGATGATGACGACGGCGACGAATCCCCCTCTCCGGAGCCCCGAACGGACTCCAGATCAGCCCTCCCAAGAGAGATTAGGGCTTGGCGGCGGCTCCGTATCGTAAAACGCGATGAAACTTTCTCTGTGACTTTTTTCTCCTCGAAAGCCAATATATGGAGTTGGAGTTGGCGTCGGAGGGCCACCAGGGGGCCCACGAGGTAGGGGGCGCGCCCAGGGGGGAGGGGCGCGCCTCCCACCCTCGTGGACAGGGTGTGAGCCCCCTGGTCTTCATCTTTGGCGAGGATTTTTTATTATTTATTCTAAGATATTCCGTGGAGTTTCAGGTCATTCCGAAAACTTTTGTTTTCTGCACATAAAACAACACCATGGCAATTCTGCTGAAAACAGCGTCAGTTCGGGTTAGTTCCATTCAAATCATACAAGTTAGAGTCCAAAACAAGGGCAAAAGTGTTTGGAAAAGTAGATACAACGGAGACGTATCAACTCCCCAAAGCTTAAACCCTTGCTTGTCCTCAAGCAATTCAGTTGACAAACTGAAAGAGAAAAAGAAAAACTTTTACAAACTCTGTTTGCTCTTGTTGTTGTAAACATGAAAAGCCAGCATTCAAGTTTCAGCAATTATTATGAACTAACCATACTCACAATAACACGTAGGTCTCACAATTACTCATATCAATAGCATAATCAGCTAGCGAGCCATAATAATAAAACTCGGATGACAACACTTTCTCAAAATAATCATAACATGATATAACAAAATGGTATCTCGCTAGCCCTTTCTGAGACCGCAAAACATAAATGCAGAGCACCTTTAAAGATCAAGGACTGACTAAACATTGTAATTCATGGTAAAAGAGATCCAGTCAAGTCATACCCAATATAAACCAATCATAATGAATGCAAACGATAGTGTGCTCTCCAGCGGGTGCTTTTTAATAAGAAGGGTGATGACTCAACATAAAAGTAAATAGATAGGCCCTTCGCAGAGGGAAGCATGGATTTGTAGAGGTGCCAGAGCTCGATTTTTGAAATAGAGATAAATAATATTTTGAGCGGCATACTTTCACTGTCAACGTAACAACTATGAGATGGCTGTATCTTCCATACTACATGCATTATAGGCAGTTCCCAAACAGAATCGTAAAGGTTTATACTCCCCCTCTTCCACAAGCATCAATCCATGGCTTGCTCGAAACAACGAGTGCCTCCAACATTCAACGGGTCCCAGGGGGAGTTTTGTTTAATTATTTTGATTTGCTTTGATCTTTTTGGATAATGGGACTGGGCATCCCGGTTACCGGCCCTTTCTCGTGAATGAGGAGCGGAGTCCACTCCTCTTGAGAATAACCCACCTAGCATGGAAGATATAGGCAGCCATAGTTGCACATGAGCTGCTCGAGCATACAAAACAGAATTTCATTGGAAGGTTTGGAGTTTGGCACATACAAATTTACTTGGAACGGCAGGTAGATACCGCATATAGGAAGGTATAGTGGACTCATATGGAACAACTTTGGGGTTTAAGGAGTTTGGATGCATAAGCAGTATTCCCGCTTAGTACAGGTGAAGGCTAGCAAAAGACTGGGAAGCGACCAACTGAGAGAGCGACAACAGTCGTAAACATGCATTAAAATTAATTCACACCGAATATAAGCATGAGTAGGATATAATCCACCATGAACATAAATATCATGAAGGCTATGTTGATTTGATTCAACTACATGCGTGAACATGTGCCAAGTCGAGTCACTCAATTCATTTAAAGGAGGATACCATCCTATCATACCACATCATAATCATCTCAATAGCATGTTGGCATGCAAGGCTAACCATTATAACTCATAGCTAATCAAGCATGGCACAAGCAACTATAATCTCTAAATGTCATTGCAAATATGTTTACTTCATAATAGCTGAATCAGGAACGATGAATCATCATATTTACAAAAACAAGAGAGGTCGAGTTCATACCAGCTTTTCTCATCCCAATGAGTCCATCATATATCATTATTGCCTTTCACTTGCACGACCGAACGGTGTGTATAATAATAGGAGTGCACGTGCATTGGACTAAGCTGGAATCTGCAAGCATTCAACTCAAGAGAGAAGACAAGTAATATGGGCTCTAAGTTAAATAAACATTCATGCACATAAGAGCCACTAAGCATTTTCAATATAGTCTTCTCGACCCCCAAAGAAAGGAAAAGAAAAATAAAAACTATTTACACGGGAAAGCTCCCAACAAGCAAAAGAAGGACGGGAAATATTTTTGAGTTTTCTTTTTAATTCTACTACAAGCATGGAAAGTAGACTAACACTAATTTTTTTTGTTTTTCTTAAGGTTTATTAAACACACAAGAAGAAAGAAGGAAAAAGGAAAATAAACTAGCATGGATATTAC